AGCAGGAATCCTGCTGTGGTTCAGAAGGTAACTGTGGGGTTTAGCACCTGAGAAGAGACAGATGAGCTGCTGCTGCTCTGTGCCAACCTGTTGAACTTTTCTCCTGGCTTTTTTGGGAAGCTGTGAGTGATTCCTGCGTGTAGCTGGATGTACATCATGTGTCACAACTTGCTTTGCAGCCTTCAAGCCCAATGGATCAGATGGGGAAGATGAGGCCTCAGCCCTATGGAGGGAACAACCCGTACACACAACAACAGGGACCTCAGGCTGGACCACAGCAAGGACATGGCTATCCAGGACAGCCCTATGGGCCACAGACTCCTCAGAGATATCCCATGGGAATGCAAAGCAGGACGCAAAGTACAATGGGCAGCATCTCATATGCACAGCAGGTAGAGCACCTGAGCTTCTGTGGTCTCTGTTCACAGCAGGAGCAGGCAGGAGAGCATCCAAGTGGTGTGTTTTCTGAAGGGAGCACCTTCAGCCGGGTTGGAATCAGTTGCTTAGGTAAAATGCCATTTCTTAGGCTACGTGTAGCACCATGTCTGGATCTGGGTGTGTACAAGGACCTGTGGAATCCTCTCTGAGAGGCAGTGGCAGAGCAGGGAGTCAAACAAGGGAAAAATAAATAGCAAGGGGAGTAGGATATTTCTCCTTCTGTGTTCTGTTAAAGACACAGCTGTTCTTTACAGAAGAAATAACTTCAGGTCAGTATTGGCTCATTATGTGATCCCAGTGGCTCCTGCAGGATTCCAGAAGATGTCTTGTTTTTTGTGGCTTTTTTTTGAGCAAACATCATTTCCTTTCAGTGTTGGTATCATTGAAGGGTGCTCAGTAGGGATCCCTGAAAACTTAGTTATAGTGCCTGTTAAAATTCTGTTACTGCCAACAATCATGTCAAACACCCAGTGACTTTTGCTGTTGTCTGGGAACTTTCTAGGTAGTGGCTTTTCCAGTACATTCCCAGTTAACTGCACAGAATTATTTCTCCTTGATCATAATCTTACTTTGTGTGTGTGTGTGTAAAATACCCTCCTAACTGGTCTGAATCTCTCCTTTTTTCCCCTAGATTCCTCCTTATGGACAGCAGGGCCCCAGTGCATATGGGCAGCAAGGCCAGACTCCGTATTACAACCAGCAAAGCCCTCATCCCCAGCAGCAGCAGCCTCCATATTCTCAACAGCCTCCATCCCAGACCCCTCACTCTCAGCCTTCTTATCAGCAGCAGCAACAGCCTCAGTCTCAAGCTCCCCAGCTCCAGCCATCACAACCAGCCTACTCCCAGCAGCAGTCCCAGCCACCCCATCAGCAGTCCCCAACTCCCTACCCTCAGCAGCAGTCCTCAGCCCAGCAGCATCAGCAGAGTCAGCCTCCCTACTCCCAGCAGCAGTCACAGTCACCCTACCAGCAGCAGCAGCAAACCCAGCAGACACCTTCCTCAGCCCTCTCTCAGCAGTCATCTTCATACCCCCCGTCGCAGCCGCAGCAGCAGCAGCAATCAGCCTACTCCCAGCAGCGCTTCCCCCCGCCTCAGGTAGGCTGGCTGAGGGAGGGGATTGTCCCCTCTGCTCTCCTGACACCCACCCTGGAGAGCTGTGTCCAGGTCTGGAGTCCCCAGCATAAGGATGTGGAGCTCCTGGAGAGAGCCCAGAGGAGGCCACAGAGATGATCCAAGGGTTTGGAGCAGCTCTGCTCTGGAGACAGGCTGGGAGAGTTGGGGGGTTCAGCCTGGAGAAGAGAAGGCTCCAGGGAGACCTTAGAGCACCTTCCAGGGCCTGAAGGGGCTCCAGGAAAGGTGGGAAGGGACTTGGGACAAGGGCAGGGAGGGAGAGGACAAGGGGGATGTATTTAAACTAGCAGAGGGGAGATGGAGGTTGGAGATGAGGAGGGAATTGTTGGGTGTGAGGGTGGTGAGAGCCTGGCCCAGGTTGCCCAGGGAAGCTGTGGCTGCCCCATCCCTGGCAGTGCTGAAGGGCAGGTTGGATGGGGCTTGGAGCAACCTGGGCTGGTGGGAGGTGTCCCTGCCCATGCAAGGGGTTGGATCCTGATGATCTTTAAGGTCCTTCCAACCCAAACCAGTCTATGATGATAAGGAGCATTGCTGTTTTGTCCTGTTTTAAACTTCCACTCCAATGTGTGTCCTCCAGCAGAGCAGTAAGGCTGCTAGTTTGAACTCTTTAGTGTTTTGGACAAATGTCACTCAGGCTACATAATTCTTCCCACAATGTGAGAATATACCAGAGTGATTCCAGCAGAGCCTTTGTTTTATTCCCATTTGTTTGTTTTTGGTGTTTCAGGAGTTATCTCAAGACTCGTTTGGGTCCCAGGCATCATCTGCTCCCTCAATGGCTTCCAGTAAAGGGCAAGAAGACATGAACTTGAATCTTCAATCCAGACCTTCGAGTCTGCCGGTGAGTTGTGAGCTGATCTGGAAGGGAATGAGCTGAGGACAATCAGAAGCACAGCAGGATAGATCAGCACTGGTCATATGCCACATGGAAATGGGAATGATGGAGCCTGTCTGGGCTTTTTTACTAAGTCATTAGCTTCTTCCCACTGGAGATTAAATGTAATTTACAAAAGTAATGGGTTTGAGAGTCAAGTTTAACCCTAAATGCTCTGATCTCTGGGTTTTAGTGAAAAGTTTGTTACTGCTTTTAATCTGTTTGCAGTGTCTGAAGTTCCTGACTGCTGTTACAGACCCTGACCTTTAGGGGAAGGTGTCCAGTTTTTTTTACTCTTTTCTTGTTCCTTCAGCCCACGGGTGGTTAGCAGACCAGCAGTGTCCTTCCCTTTCTCTCCCTGGATCCTTATCCTGCTGATTTAAAGCTGCTTTGGTCCAATCTGACTGAGCAGTTGGTGAAAAAGACAAGTTTATTAGTTCCTGGAGTGAGGATGACCCATCACAGACAGCTCCTTCCTTGACAGATGGAGAATTATATTTTCTTTTAGGTTCTGGTTGCTGTATGGACAGTGAACAGTTGGGTGTGAGATCAGGGCTCAATTGGTCCAGTTTTGGCCTAGAAAATTTTAACTTTGGGTTAAAACATCAAGGAAATGGAGAAGAGTTAAAAGTTTAGATTAGTTTGCATGAGCTGATCTGCACCTCTGGCCTGGAAGAGAAGTTTTGAGCTGCCGAGTTCTGATTTTCCTGCTTACTTTCATTGTAACCAGGAGGAAGTGAGTGAGCTTTATTTTTTAAATTATTATTATTTTATTTAGCCACTGGCTAAGTCAGTTTTCTAAACTGCAGCTGGATTGGCCAGAGGAGAGTGAGCTGTGGATGTAGCAGAGTTATTTTTGCTCTCAGCAGTGAGAAGCCCCTTGAAATAATTCCTTTGGATCGTGGGTACAAATTGTCACCCAAAATACAAAGTCATTCTCATTCTGACCACCTAATGGGAGTAGCTGTGGGTTATTTCTTTTTTTCTTTCTTTTCCTTTCATTTTTTTGGGTTTTTTTCTGCCTTCTGGACCCTGATTACAAAGATTTAATTTGTTCTGAGGCCTGGGGAAAAAATCCTTTTAAATAGCATGATTCTTTCCACTCTGCCTCTCCACAAGTTCTTCCATGTGACCCATCTCCTGGCAAAGAATGTAGGAAGAGTGAAGCCACTGAAGTAATTGAAGAAATTGCTCTAGCTCTGAACAGTGGGAAGTCCTGCTCAGTAGCATTGTTGATAGAGCCTTCCTGAATCCTGCCAATCAGCGCCCTCTGACTCAGATTATAGGAATTAATTCCTCTGCTTTGCAGAAGTGGCTCCTTCTCAGCACCAAGTGGGAGTTTGGTTTATACCTTGTGGTTAAATGAATTCAGCCCTTTTCAAGTTTTCCTTTTTCCCAAGCAGTTGAAGAAAGGATGGTTGTCTCTGCTGGGAGAGGGAGGGAGCTTGGGAATGAGGGAATCTCATAGAATCACAGGATGGTTTGGGTTGGAAGGGACCTTAAAGATCATCAGGATCCAACCCCTTGCATGGGCAGGGACACCTCCCACCAGCCCAGGTTGCTCCAAGCCCCATCCAACCTGCCCTTCAACACTGCCAGGGATGGGGCAGCCACAGCTTCCCTGGGCAACCTGGGCCAGGCTCTCACCACCCTCACACCCAAGAATTTCCTCCTCATGTCAAACCTCAATCTCCCTCTTCCAGTTTTCTTGTCCTCTCCCTCCCTGCCCTTGTCCCAAGTCCCTCCCCACCTTTCCTGGAGCCCCTTCAGGCACTGGAAGGTGCTCTAAGTTCTCCTTGGAGCCTTTTCTTCTCCAGGCTGAACACCCCCAGCTCTGATCAGGTACCTCAGAGGTTTGCTGAAGAGAAATCCAGGGTGCAAAACATGGATCCAGCTTTTAAAGCTGGCCAGCTGTACTCTCAGTTCTGTTTTAAGCAGGTTTTATAGTAATCTTCTCCTGACTTTATCACAATATAATTTGCATTTAAGAAATCAAGAAGTCTTTAGCTCATCCAGCCCCACTGTATTTTTGGGCCTTCTGGTCCTTGGTAGTCAAAAATTAACAAAGGAGAACACCCCCCCTGCAGAACCCTTATTCTTCTATGTGTTTCATAGTTCCTTGTCTTCTTGTTAGGATCTTGTAAGACAAGACCAGCACCCTTGTCTGCAAATTGAGAAATGCATCAGACAGGGATGCTGTGAAGTGGTTGAAAGGGAAGGATCTCTGAGGTTTATGGAAGCCAACTCTTTGCTCAACCTCTTGCACAAAATTTGGCCTGGGAATGCTTAGAAACAGAAGAGCTACGTGGAAAGGTGCTATCAATTTCTTTTTATCTTCCTTATATTGCTCAGTCTGTCTTTTAGGAAGTTTTATCCTACTCAGGAGGATTCCTAGATCCCTGTTTTGCCATTATGTATGACTTAGAGAAGCATGGTTGGGTTTGTGGGCTTCTTTTGTGGAGTTCTGAGCCCTTTTCCAAGCCTCAGTGGGTGTTGTGGAATAGCTCACTGGGCATCGTGGAATCAGGGCAGATCATTCCATGCATCATCTTCAGTTAAACATAGATCAGCTCCAGCAGGAAAAGGATGTTACTGCTTTTTGGGTTCTTATGAAGTGTTAAATTTCTGTACCCGCTGCTTTTATGAGTCTGTAGCCTTAATGTTGTTGTACATGAACGTTCACGTGGGGCTTCTGAGCAATAAAGGGGACACTATTTCTTTGGCTGACCCCATGAGTGTCTCAGGAGGTGGGTGTTCTCCTTGCTGTGACATTGTCAGGTTGTCCAACTCCTCTGAGCTCTTGCTGCCTTTGGTAGCATCTGCCTGAGAAACGTCGCCGTGCTTGTTCTGCGTGGAGGTCTTTGAGATATTGTCCCAGTCATGGTATTTGTGTCACTAACTAGACTTTTTCATGACCATTTTCCCACCTTCTGATTTTGTAACGGCAGAAGAAACAAAGAACTGATTTCTGTAATGCTCATTTGTAAGTAGCAAAGTGGCTGACCTTCCATTTCTGCAGGAGTTACAGGCTGCTCTACCTCAAGGGTTGTTCCTTCTCTGAAGATGATATGTTCTGTATTTTGGGCAGAATGTTGGTGCTAACTCAAACTCAAAAATGCCTTTTAAAGAGTCATGCATCCTCACATGTGTCCTGGCTGCTTCTTTTCCTGTAGCAGGCTGGGGGAAGAATTCCTCTGAAGAACTTGCTGCATCCCTAGGGATGTTCTGTCAGGATTGCAGTTCAACTAAACTTAGATTGTCTTTGTGTATGGGAGAAGTGCAGTCTTTTATGTCTGGGTGTAAGAGAGGAAGAGTAATCCATAATATGAATCTGCTTCTCCCAGGAGATCCCCGTGTCTCTTCTCCTTAGCAAAAAATTCTTCTGGCAAGTCGTATCCAGTTTATTTGGTGTCTTTACCTTTTGAGTCTTGGATTCTGGGAATGTAGGAGTCAGATGTTTCCTTCTGCTTAAACGTGGAAGGTGCTGGTAACAAGTGGAGGGGAAGTAAATAGGGTGCTAGGACATCCCTTTGGGTTAGGATTGCAAAGCAGTTTTGCTGCAAAGTTCTCTGGAGTTTGAGGTTTGTTGGGAGGGATTTTGTATCTCATTTTTGAACCTGCAGTAGATTCTTATCCTGCCTCAGTCTTGTCTTGTGGGCTGCCCTGAAGGAGTTGAGAGCAAGTTCCTCGTGTCTTTGAGGTGAAAGAGGAGTAGAGGATTGAGACAGTGGTTACCACACCAGGCTGTTGATACCTTCCCAACCACAGAAGTTGGTATCTGTGGTGTTAGGACTTCCAGGCTGGCCCCAAGAGACATTTATGAAGCAAACCTGATTTGATGCCAGTGCATACTGGCTTGTATTTGCTTTTCACTGGACCTTCTGCCATTTCTTCACCAAAGCTTTCCTGTCTGTGGAAACCAAAACTTAAGTGAGAGGTGTTGTTTTCAGCAATGCTTTGGTAGGAAGGGTTCTGCAGGGTGTGGGGCTTCTGGTGGAACCAAGAGGGCAGATACTGGCAGAGTTGAGGACGTCCTGAAACACCAAGGTTGTGTCTGTGTTTTTGTTGCAGTGAATCTGTAATGAAACAAACTGTGGCAGATTGGACAGAAGCTTCAGAATTGTCACCTCACCGTGTCCTTGGTTTCTTTTGGTCACTGTACTGTGCAGCCTGAGAGAGAAACCCTCTCTTGGGCAACTTATTTTCATCTTGATGTGGAGTGGAAATGGTTTTAAGATCCATTATTTGCACTGTTGGAAAGCTGTTTTGCTTCTTCAGCTGCATTTCACTTTGGTTCATCTCTGACTTGAGAGCTGGAAGGTATCTGACCAGTGACAGAAAGGAACAGAACCAACTGAAAACAAATTCCTGATTGACTTTTAACTTCTGCCGTGTGTGTTCTGGTCTTGGGTCTTTGCAGTTTGGATTTACCAAAAAGAGGTTTTGTGGGAAGGGGAGAGGTCTGAGGCTGCAGAGTTTGGGCCTGTTCAGAAAGAACCTTTCTCTGAATATCCCCAGCAGTTGTGGGGTGGGTTTGCTTGTATTATCTCCTCCTTTCTTAAATAGTTTCTGAATTTAGGTGCTGAAACTTGTCACAGAAACACTGTTTGGATTTTCTGCTCTTACAAAGTGGTCATTTCAACTTGTACTCTGAAGGTACTTGAGGTGGAATAAAGTTGAGCTCTGTCAGCTGTGTCCCCTGACCTGGAAATAATCCAAGCAACAGGCTGAAATGCAGCAAAAAACTGTCTCAAAGCTGCCATGGATGGGCAGGGAGGTACAGCCCAGGAAATGAACACTTTCTTAAAAATTCTTTGAGCTTTAAAATTAATCATTTTGACAATTTTTGGGGGGTCGGGGGAGAAGAACCTTTTCTAGTTGAATCTTCTGGTCACTTCAAGCTCTTTTTTTCTTTTTTTTTCCCCCCATATGGGACTTCCTGCTTCTGTTTGGTTTGTATTTGGCCT